AAAAAAAAAAAAAAAGAATTTTTTTTAGTAATGACTAGATGTGTATTTTAGAAATATAATAGTGGTCGTAGTCTTCCAAACTGCTTAGAGATCATGACCCATTAGTAACTTGTGAAATCAATTTAATGTTTTCAGTGAATATTTTAAAAAATAAATGGGATGTTTTGTAATATATTGCATTTTACATAGTAAAAATATTTAATGAAAAGTGAGTGATACCACACACATACAGACATGTATGTGTAGCTTCTTATATCAAGTTCTCAAATGATGTAAGAACTTGAAATAAGTTCTTTTATCAGGCGTGTTTCTTATATCAACTTACAGTCAAAAGTTTCAGAAACTTTTTCGAAAGATGAATTGCAAACCTGGAGAAAAGTTGGGAAGGTATTTCAGAGTCTTTTAGCTTCAGTCATATGTATGGTGAATTAGATAACATGAAAATGTTTTCGCTACATACACCTTGGAGTGCTAAGTGAAAAAGAACATAGTAGGCCACAAAATGATGTAGTTGAGTGATTAAAAATGTAGTTGATATATTAGAGGTTAGAAATGCAGAATAATTGAAAAGAGAACAGCAAGCATGTGAGCTAATATAGGGGGGTTGGAGGTATGGGAAAGGAGGTGGTCTGTCTTCTAAATTTAGGCTCTTTGGTTTTAAACAACAGAGTGTTAATAGTAAGGATGAGAAATACCCAGTAGTCAGTACAAGGCAGTAATGAAAAGTAGGTCTTTCTTGCGTTAGGATATAGGTTGGAGAAAAACGTGTTACTGAGAATACACAGCCGTAAGTTCCCTCCCGCATAAAGGTCTGGAATGCAAATTGCTGCAACCTAAATTGTCTTGGAACTTGCAAACTGGGAAATTAACTATTTGGTCCCAAGCCAATTCCTGGGTGCTTGACAAAAACGAAGTGACATCACTCTGGAGCAGCACTCATTCAATCTAAGCCAAACACTTCGCATTGTTAAAAGCTACACTAGGAATCAAACCACGGTGAGAATCAGCATATATAATAAGCTGCAGGATTAGATTTCCCTCAGAGCTTTTAACAAATAGACCTCTCTGGCAGGGACTATAAAAATAGTTTTCTTCCAAGATCACATGAGATCGGGCATTTTCAGAGTGGTACGGCCGTAGACAAAATAGTTTTCTTAAAATGATTTAAAATGAAAGAATAAAACGTAAAAGACCCTAAGGATAAAAAGGTAGAATTGAAAACAAATTTCTGGAAATAAAAATATCATCATTAAAATTAAAAACTCATACAATGAATTAAACAGTAGATTAGACCCAACTGATTAGAGAATTTTTGAATTAGGAGATGACCCTTAGGAAATTATCTAGAATGCAGCAGAGAGAAATTAAAAATATGAAAGTGAAATTGAGTCATGAAAAGAGCACTTTATATTTCCTTTTTTTCTTTTTTGAGATGGAGTTTTGTTCCTGTTGCCCAGGCTGGAGTGCAGTGGCACCATCTCGGCTCACTGCAACTTGTGCCTCCTGAGTTCAAGTGATTCTCCTGCCTCAGCCTCCCAAGTAGCTGGGATTACAGGCAGGCACCACCATGCCTGGCTAATTTTGTATTTTTAGTAGAGATGGTTTCTCCATGTTGGTCAGGCTGGTCTAGAACTCCCAACCTCAGGTGATCCACCAGCCTCTGCCTCCAAAAATCCTGGGATTACAGGCATGAGCCACTACACTACACCTGACCAGCACTTTATATTTTTAATGAGTCCCAGGTATAGAGAATAGGAATAATGGGAGAAAGACAATAATCACAAATGTAACGACTTTGAATTTCTATCGTTGATGATAAATTTAATAAGTGTGAGCTTGAAGCCAAAAGTAAAAGTAGGTTCATATCTACATACTTCAGAGTGAAACTGCAGAACACCAAAGACATAGAGAAAATCTGAAACCAACAGTAAAAGGCAGGAAGCTATTTCAGTAATCACAAAGAGATATGTGTCTAACATCAGGAGATAGGCCCACAAGACCTATCAGAACTAGAAGATAGCATGATTCCTAAATCAATCAATGTCAAAGCTTAGGAGGGCTTTAAGATGATGCTGAGTATCTTAGTTTATTTTGTGCTGCTGTAACAATACCTGAGACTGGATAATTTATAAAGAACAGACATTTATTTTTTATAGTGTTGGAGGATGGGAAGTCCAAGATCGAGGCAGTTGCATCTGGTGAGGGCTTTCTTGCTGCATCCGTACATGGAAGAGGGCACAAGGGCAAGAGAGAGCAAACTCACTGTTGCAAGCCCTTTTTATTATAGCATTAATTCATTCATGAGGGCAGAGTCCTCATGACCTAAACTGTTCCCAGTAGGCCTCACATTCCAACACTGTTGCACTAGGGATTAAGTTTCCAGCACATGAATACTGGGGGACACATCCAGACCGTAACACTGAGGCATCTAGTTTGGTTATCTGGGCAGATAATGATGCCTCATTCAAGATTGGAAACAGGATGAAAAGATTTGGAATCCTGCCAAGGAGTGGAAGAATGGATGAGGGAAAACTAACATTGTTTAGGACTTGCTGAGTTTGAAGTAACTGTGAGACATCTCTATATAGCTGTCCATAGGTAATTAGAAATATCAACTAAGAGTCTAGGCCGGGCATGGTAGCTTATGCTTATAATCCCAGCACTTTGGGAGGCTGAGGCTGGTGGATAACCTGAGGTCAAAAGTTCGAGACCAGCCTGGCCAACATGGTGAAACCCCGTCTCTACTAAAAATACAAGTTAGCCAGGTGTGGTGGCGGGTACCTGTAATCTTACTCAGGAGGTTGAGGCATGAGAATCGCTTGAACCCAGATGGCAGAAGTTACAGCAAGCCAGTATTGTGCCACTGCACTCCAGCCTGGGTGACAGAGCAAGACTTGGCTTCAAAAAAAAAAAAAAAAAAATCTAGAAAGACTAAACATTAGAATTTGTGGATTGTTTTGTGAGTGATTACTGAAATCATGAGATTGCCAAGGGATAGAATGCAAGGTGAGCAGAGATGGTCACATGTTTTGGAAGCTGGCGGGGAGGGCCTCTAAGAAGTAGGCAGAGAATGAGCAATGAGAATGTTTGGGAGGGACCAGGAAGGAGTAGGTATAAAGCTGAAAAATTAGTAAGATTTGATGATTTGGCGATCATGGAATAGAAGATGGGATGCACTTAATTCCCCTAGCAATGAGTTGTGACAGCCATCCAAGGAAGCTTATTAGAGACTTAGTGTTAAGGGTTTTTATTTAGGGCTGATCACATTTGGTCCCTGATCTTTGGAACCCTGAGTGTTAGAAGTAATACAGATTTTAGTGGTCTAAAAAATGAATAGAATGTGAGAAATTGGAAAGACTCAAAAAGGTGGGGCAGCAAAGGAAGGAAAAAATGCTTATCTTCTTTTCCTGTCTTGTTGAAATTATTCATAATTTACCGTGCAACAATTTACCACTTTAGAAATGTTTTTGTAATTCCTTGTGTATTTTTCTATTTTAGTCTTTGAAGACAGAGAAAGTCTATTTTTCTTCTAATGCTATGAGAAACAGTAATGCTTGTTAAATGATTAAGCAATTTCTGCTGCCACTGTATTGCCTTCCACCAGATGGACCTCTTGATTTTTCCTTCCTCTCAAGTGCCCATCTCTGTGTTGCTGTTTTTTTCCTGTTTCCTCATTATGTATGCCTCTTTTTTCAGCTTTTTCTTATGTATTCAGGACAATTAAGACTAAAGAGGCTATTCGCGTTCAGACAGAACATGGGAAAAATTGGTAGGCATTGGAGGTATGTTTACTATTAAACTTCTTGTGTCTTACATTTCTAGGAAGAATATTAAAAAACAGCAGTGTGAAGCCATTGTTGGAGCCCAGTGTGGCAATGCAGTTTTAAGAGGAGCCCATGTCTATGCCCCAGGAATTGTGTCAGCATCAAAGTGTAAGTATCATGTTTAGATTTGTCTTTAAGGTTCTCTAAAATTTATGTGCATTTTCAAATGGAAAATTTATTGATTTGTCACTAAGATGTATTCCAAATTTACCTTGGTCGGATATTTTTCCAGCTTTGCATTTAGGGTTTTATCCGATGAGGACTAACTAGTCATCATATAAGGTTTTCTGACAGTTTTTTTTTTTCCTTCCAAATAAGGATATATTTGATGACGGTTGTTTTAGTGGATCATTACTGATGAATAGAGAGTACGTCAGTGAACTTCTGTTTTGTTTTCTTGACTGCATTGCCTTGAAACGTCAGAAAGCTGTCGTATCATTAGTGAGAGAACATCCAGAACCTGGAATCTGAACATTGGGATGAAACTTAGTATTCTTAATGTATTCACACAGTTGGCGACATACCTGTATTGCATATGCTTAGTAAGTTAGTCACTGTGGTTCAGTGGTACCTTATTGGACTTGAAATCAAGAAACATTTGCATTGATCTGTAGAAAAGTTATTCAGTATCTGGGCCTCAGTTATGGTGTCCTTGAAATGAATGATTTGATCTGTATCAGAATTGGGCCAACTACTGCCTGCTGGCCAAATCTGGCCTATGTCTGTTTGTGTGTGGCCCATAAGCTAAGAATGGTTTTTTCATTTTTAAAATGCTGTGAAAAGATACATATATAAAGAAGAATATGCCACAGAGACCTTATGTGGCTACAAAGCCTAAAATATTTATTTGCCCTTTATAGGAAAAGTGTATTGACATCTGATCTACATTATTTTAACAGTTTTCTTAGCTGTAGCTAATAGGCTGTTCATTACTGTTGTCAGGTAATAGGCCAAATAAATTTATGATAGATTAGCTTTAAAAATGTTTTTTGGAAGTGGAATATAATTTCCCATCATAAATACCACCAGGAGTTGTTATAGAAAATATTGAAATGCCTACAAAAACTGGATTTAATCAGCCATGTAAAGCAGCTCTGTACACTGTATACTGTAAAAGGTATTCTAAGTGTATACACACACATATATGTGTGCATGTGTATGTGTATATATATATGAATGGCTTTATATGTTTATCATTAAAGTCTCTGCCTTAATTGTGCTGTCACAGCAAAATAGCAAAGAAATACAAACAGGGTTATGAGAATATTTCTTTGAAGGATTTTAGGGTACATATTTGACGAATCCTTTTGAAGGAAACTTAGAACTTCGAGGTTTGAGCTGAGATGTCAAGATTTATAAGAACTCTTTTAAGACTTGGGGGAAATGATTTGGATCAGCTACAGATTTCCAGTTGAGGGCAGGATGTTTTGAAGCTGTTCTATTTCTTTGTTTTCACTGAAAAAGATTCTTCAGTGAGTTTTATTGTTAGGGAATATTTTAAAGTAAACGTCAGATTTTCTATTAAAGATTATATTGAGATAATGAGCCAGGTTGAACTGCTTCATGCCCACTATTGATGCCTCTAGAGATCGCCAGTGTAGCTCAAAGAATGTTCACGATTCTTCTGCCAAAGTATAATTCAATGTAATCTGATTTTCTTCCTTCTCTAGTTATGAAAGCTGGAGATGTTATTTCTGTATACTCTGATATTAAAGGAAAATGTAAGAAAGGAGCCAGAGAATTTGATGGAACAAAAGTATTTCTTGGAAATGGGATTTCTGAACTAAGCCGCAAGGAAATCTTCAATGGATTACCTGAACTGAAGTATGTCATCAGGTGTTTTGGGGAAATCAGCATCCTTTTTGTGGGTCAATGAAAATTACAAATAATGTAAAATGTATCTAGTTGCGTTATATGAGGTTTTTTTTTGCTATAAATCCAACTGGAAAAAAATTGTTTTACCCATATATCCATGATTTTTGTTCAAAAAGGGTAACTGATCAAATTAAAGAGCCTCATTAGGCAACCAGTTACATTTTAATTGTCAAATGATTTTACTTGTCCTTCTAAATTTTATTTTTTTTGAAATATTTTCATCTTTAAAAAACAATGTTCATTTTGATGGAGAATGAATTCGATGATCGATGTAGATCATTTTTTTTTTTTTTTTTTTTGAGACGGAGTCTTGCTCTGTCGTCCAGGCTGGACTGCAATGGCATGATCTCAGCACACTGCAAGCTCTGCCTCCCAGGTTCACACCATTCTCCTGCCTCAGCCTCCCGAGTAGCTGGGACTACAGGTGCCTGCCACCACGCCCGGCTAATTTTTTGTATTTGTACTAGAGACGGGGTTTCACCGTGTTAGCCAGGATGGTCTCGATCTCCTGACCTCGTGATCTGCTCGCCTCGACCTCCCAAAGTGCTGAGATTACAGGCGTGAGGCACTGCGCTCATCCTATCCAGATCATTTTTAACATTCTTATTTGTCAAGAAAAAGTTTGATTTTAATATAAATTAAACATATTTTTTAATTAAAAATAAATTTTACCAGAAACCTAGCACTCACATGAATATTTGTGGTGAAAAATGAATGTTTAGGCTTGTTCAAACTAAATTAAAATACAGTCTGTTGTAAATCATTTCTGATTGCTAGTGGCCCTAAATAATTGGTGGAAAGTCCAGGCTCTTATTTTACTTAGTCTTTTCAGGCTGTTTTGAGTTCAGTGGACAGCTCCATTACTCCAAAGTTCATGGCTGACATAGACATGCTAAAAGCTGTGAATTTCTCTATTTACAATTGGACAGTATCCCTGATTGGTAGAACAGTTGTTCATGTTGTAACAGTTTGGGTTTGTAGTTGAAATTCATTCGTTCTTCTGAAGAAGTTGACTGTTGGATTCCCTAGATCTAGGTAGCAGCACTTTCCAAATGACCAAGAACAAAGATTTTATTCTCCTTAGAAGGCTTCATGAATATAAAGATTATGCATATATCTGCTATGTTTATCTTTGGACCTGTAATAGGTAATTGATATTTTGACTGCCTCCATTAGTTCATTGTTAATGGTATACTCTTCATTCTTTTAGGTTATTTGATGTGGTTCCAGTTATTGTGTTGAATAATGTTTTCTGAACAATGTTGTGAATAATTTTTTGTTATTGGAAGTTAGGAGGCAAACAGCTTTCAGCCAACTTTTGGCCGAGCGCGGTGGCTCACTTCTGTAATTCCTGCACTTTGAGAGGCCAAGGTAGGCGGATCACTTGAGGTCAGGAGTTCAAGACCAGCCTGGCCAACACAGTGAAACCCCCATCTCTACTAAAAATACAAAAATAAGCTAGGTGTGGTGGTAGGTGCCTGTAATCTCAGCTACTCAGGAGGCTGAGGCAGGAGAACTGCTTGAACCCAGGAGGTTGCAGTGAGCCTGAGACTGTACCACTGCACTCTAGTCTGGGTGACACAGCGAGACTTCAGAATGTCAAAAAAGGAAAAAAAAAATCGACGTTTAAACTCAATGTATTCAGTTACACTTTTGCAAGTTTTGTCTCTTCCTGTGTGAGAAGCAGGCTGCTATGACAGAAATGCTACATGTACACCCTGTTTCTTATTTATGTTCCTTAAAAAATTTTAAACCAACACAACTAATGGTACAATTGTTTTTCAGTTAGTGAATTTGAGCCTTTTGCTTTCTTGAATTCCAGGTGGGTTGAATCATTCATAGATTCATGAAGGCAGGTTAATTTACTAACAGATTGCATTAATATATGCAATCTTATACTTTGCATTATAATATGGAGATATGTGGCTACAGAAATATTTTTTACAGAAACATGCAATCTCATACCTGAATAATAATTGGCTTAAATTATTCTTTATTATGTTATTTTGAGTTCAGTAATTTATAGCACTCACTTGTTCTGGTAGGCATGTTCAGAAGGAGATAGTCGAAGAGCACCAGAACCTAAAGTGGCAGTTAGGAACTGAGTAGGATGACAGGTGTGAACATTTTCAAGTTTCAGTATTTTTTTAGAGGACTGGAGTCCTGCAAGTCAGAAAGTCATTTAAATTATGGAGTGATCAGACTCTGGAATTCAAGATATTCAATAATAGCTATAGATTCTGGGTGTTGATCAAGGTAAGAGTACCAGGTGTCACAACAAAGGACTGACTTGCTTTGGTTTTTCTTTTAGAGACAGGGTCTTGCTCTGTCATTAAGGCTGGAGTGGTGCGATCAAAGCTCACTGTGACGTTGAATTCCTGAGCTCAAGTGATCCTCCTACTTCAGCCTCTGAGTAGCTAGTTCTATAGGCACATGACACCATGATCAGCTGATATTTTATTTTTATTTTTTCATAGATATGGGGGTCTTGCTATGTTACCCAGTCTGGTCTTGAACTTCTGGTCTCAAGCAGTCCTCCCACCTTGGCCTCCCAAAGTGCTAGGATTATAGGGAGGAGATGCCACACCCAGCCAGGACTGGCTTTCAAATGTGAGTCAGTGACATTTCAGAAGCTTCATTTGTATATTTTCTGCTCAGGGGCAGGGACTATTTGCCTTGGAAGTGAATACAGTGGTTTAATTTGTTCCTGACTGGAGCAGTGACTGAGTTTTAACCTCTGATTAAAAGTGCACATTCATGGATTTCAAGTGGTAAACAAATGAGTAAGGTGGTAAAGGGGTGAGAAGAGGAGGAAAAGGAGTCAGCATTTATTATATGCTAAAGGCCGTTAGAGCTGAGGAAGCCAGGCATAGTGTCTCATACCCATTATCCCAGGAGCTCCGGAAGCTGTGACAGGAGGATTGCTTGAGGCTAGGAGTTTGATGCCAGTCTGGGCAACATAGTAAGACTCTGTACACACAGACACACACACACACACACACACAACATAGTGAGACTTTGTCCACACACATGCACACAAACACACACACTTACCTGGCGTGGTGGTGTGTGCCTGTAGTCCCAGCTACTGGGGAGGCTAAGGTAGGAGGATCACTTGAACCCAGTAGTTAGAGGCTGCAGTGAGTTATGATTGTGCCACTGCGCTCCAGCCTGGGTGAGAGAGTGAGACCCTGTGTCTAAAAATAAATAAATAAATAAATAAATAAACAACAAAACCAAGGGGAGTTTATAATCATACACTGCAGTAATAGTCCACAGATATCTACTGACGTTATTTTACTGTCAAGACCAACATAAACTTATCCTGCCAACATTAGATAGAGTACACACCATCAGTGTAGATGCATCTCTGCCAAGATCAACTCATAAGCTGTTCCATAAGCTAGCTATGAACTTGTCTACTATACTGCTTCTAAGACTTTATCTTTGCTCATCCTAATGGGTCTCTCCTTTCATTGTACCCTTAAACCAGGTTTAAGTCATGATTTTTAAAAACCATTGTATAAAAATTGTGTTTATTTGGGGGCTCTGTCGCCCAGGCTGCAGTGCAGTGGCAGAATCATAACAAACTGCAGCCTCCAACTCCTGGGCTCAAGGGATCCCTCCGCTTCAGTCTCCCAAGTGCCGGGACTACAGGTACACTCCACCATGCCTTGGTCGTTTTATAAATTTTGTGTAGAGATGTTGCCTAGGCTGGTGTCAAACTTCTGACCTCAAGTGAGCCTCCTGTGCCAGTCTCTCAAAGTGCTGGGATTACAGGCATGAGCCACTGTGTCGGCCTAAATCCTGATTTTTATACTTAGACTGTACTTTTTTCTGTGCCGTCCTAATCCCCGGAACACTCTTTGAATTTCTCCTTTTGCTTGCTCTCTCTGGTTTGACCTGACACACAAGGCCAGGCTTGGCTTTGTCTGACAGGATTTGGGTGTTCTTTCTCTGCTTCAATAGCCTCTGACAACATCTCTGAGATTGTGATGTTTGTCTTGATGAGTCACTCTCCACCAGGCCATCCTGAGTCCTGGCCCTTCCTGTTCTGATCAGTTCCACTGCCACTCCTAAAATGGGACAAAGGTGGAAAAGGTTATCCTTGGGATTGTGTCAGTACTGGGCAATTATTCTATAAAGAGCTGACAGGAAGTAGTAAAGAATGAGGTAGTGTTTGCTTTTTAGTCTGTTCAAGTCTCTGCAGACATTTGTGCTTAAATGAAAAATTTATGTAACTTTTTCCTTTTTAGTTCTGATGGCTTCCTATTCTGCAGGTAAAAATTCAAAAACAATTAACAGGACTACTTTATGTATTTTGTTGTTGAATAAAAGAGTTCTTTTTTTAATTTTTTTATTTTTTGAGACAGAGTTTCACTCTTGTCGCCCAGGCTGGAGTGCAATGGTGCGATCTTGGCTCCCTGCAACCTTTGCCTCCCAGGTTCAAGTGATTCTCCTGTCTCAGCCTCCCAAGTAGCTGGGACTACAGGCACCCACTACCACGCTCGGCTAATTTTTTGTAGTTTTAGTAGAAACAGGGTTTGTCCATGTTGGTCGGGCTGGTCTTGAACTCCAGACCTCAAGTGATCCTCCCGCCTGTGCCTTCCAAAGTACTGGGATTACAGGCTTGAGCCACCGCACCCGGCCAAAAGAGTTCTTTAAAAGAGCTTCTTATGTTTGACAGGCTATTTGAGAATGTTTCTGGAAACATAGTTTGTATAGACCATGGAATTTATACGACTAATGTTAGATTTCCTATTTTTCAGAGGCATGGGCATAAGAATGACAGAACCAGTATATCTCAGCCCTTCATTTGACAATGTACTGCCCCGTTACTTATTTTTACAAGTAAGTATGTATAAAAGTAAAATATTTAGTGACATTAAAACATACATCAGTGAATTATTTGAAATCTGGGATTTTTTAAAATTTAAGAATTTTTTTGGAGTCTGCTTATATACACTGATCTACCTTTGGTTAAGCAGTAAGAAAAAACTTTACAAGCATTCTTCTTTCTTTGGTTTTTCTCTGTTGATTTTTAAACTATTTTTTCTATCTTTCTTTGCCCAAAGGTGATTTAATAACTGATTAAAATATACTGCTTTCCATCTCAAAATATTAATCCCTGAATATTGCATGCATTTTATATACATGTGTAGTGTTCCATTAGTAAATCATTTGATTTGTTATAGTCTGTTGGTTGGGTAGTGTTATAACTCACAATATAAGAGGAAGATAACTGAAGACCGGATCTGTTACGGCTCTTGTCCTATGTCACACTACTGGTAACTGGTGGTATCTGAATTCAAACCTTAAGTCCAAATGTTGTGTGCTGCCCCACCTTCTCTGTCCAGTAATTATTATTATTATTTTTTTGAGACAGGCTCTCTGTTGTCTAGGCTGGAGTACAGTGGTACAGTCATAGCTCACTGTAAGCTCGAACTCCTGGGCTCAAGCAATCTTCCTGCCTTAGCCTTGCAAATAGTTGGGACCACAGGTGTGCACTACTATGCCCCACTGATTTGTTTGGTGTTTTTGTAGAGATGGTGTCTCACTTTGTGGCCCAGGCTGGTTTCAAACTCCTGGCCTCAAGTGATCCTCCTGCCTTGGCCTCCCAAAGTGTTGGAATTGTAGGCATGAGCCACCATACCTGGCCTTTGCCCAGTATTTAGCCAACAGACATTTTATGAATTCAGAGATTATTTCTGGTGTGAACAAATGGAAAAACAGATGTTTATTATCTAATTGCACATTGGTGATGTTCTAACACATTAGAATATGTAATCTAACATATAATTGTTTATGAATCATTTTGGGGATTTTTGTTTGCTAATTTTAGTTTCAGTGTTTTTTTCGTGGTTGTTTATTATATAATTTATTTGAAACACTTGTTTTCATTTGGCAATGTGGCCCTGAGTCATTGCTAGTGGTACCTGCACTCCTTCAAGTTAGTAATGTTTAATGCAATGTTAGTTTTCTGTGTGGTTTGACAGTACCTGCTCATCTCATAGTTTAAAGTGTGTGTGGGTTTTGTTTTTTTGTTTTTGTTTTGTTTTGTTTTTTTGTTTTGAGACAGAATCTTAATCTGTCACCCAGGTTGGAGTGCAGTGGCATGATCTTGGCTCACTGCAGCCTCAACCTCCCAGGCTCAGGTGATCCTCCCACCTCAGCCTCCTGGGTAGCTGGAACTACAGCATGCACCACCACAGCCAGCTAATTTTTTATATTTTTAGTAGAAATGGGGTTTTGCCATATTGTCCAGGCTGGTCTTGAATTCCTGGGCTCAAGTGGTCATCTCGATTTGGCCTTCCAAAGTTCTGGGATTACAGGCATTAGCCACCGTGCCTGGTCATTATTTAGTTTTGAGTTTATAAAAAGAAATCTAGTATAGTGCAGATTTTCTTTTTACATTTTTTGCTATCTGTAGCAGCATTCTTTCGTCTTAAAATCAGTTTAATGATGACTTTATGAAATATTGTGAGTCATTTTGTGATTCATACTGTCCAGACTACCATAGAGCCATATTCTTTGTCACCTAATAGCAAGGGACATAAGAATTTCCTGCCAGAATAAAACTTTTGTGTCTGAGGGCAGAGTTTAACTTTTTGTCATTTCTCTAGTGAAAGCTGTTTTATTTTATGTAGTCTATTTTGATGGCCAGTTTCTGATGGCCAGTGAAACTTATAAGGGATACTAATGGTAATCGCAGCTAACACTGACTGAGTGCTTATTATTGTGGTCCGTGTACTGAGCTGAGTGTTTTACATATATTTTTTCATTTACTTCTTACAAACCATCAGTTTCATAGAGAAGGAAATAGAGGCTTAGAAAATTAAAGTGCGTGGTAGGCATTAGTAGTTTTTGGGCGATTAAAGGAGTGGTTTGCTGTATGCTGCATAGGTAAAAATTTGCAGAGTCAAAATTTGAATCCAGGTCTTTCTGATTCCAAGCCTGTATTCTTGGCCCCATGCCAGTGCTCCAGAAGTAACCCATGGAAGATCTGCATCTGAATCACCTGCAGGGCCTTTTGAAAATGCAGTTCTTGGGTCCTAAGTTAGATTTACTGAGATCCAAGTTCAGGGGGTGAGGACTTTAAACAGTTCACATATTACATTAAATTTCTCAAGTGCTTCTTTGACAATTTCCCAAAAACTCTGTGATCAGTGTTGAGTTAGTATTAGTTGATCTTTTTGTGTTATATCTTCCTTTTCAAACTGGTTCAGGACTACCAGATTCTTAACTGGGTCTTATCCATAAAATCTAAATAGCTTAATTCAGTGCAGACCAGAACCAGGTGATAGTCGTTTCTCTAAGGAAAATTCTGAAAGAACGTGCAGAACAGTACGTTTAAGAAGAATGTGGAATTTAAAAAATTTATTATTATCCTTAAATTTTTACATACGTAAAGATTCTCACAGGTGGAACAAGTTTCACATTTACATATAATGGTAATATAAAACGCATTTGGAATGTTTCAACAAGTTGCCTTTCTTTTCAGACAAACCTACTTGAATATTCAAGTGACTATAAAGTGGATTAAATGATAGTGTCTAAAAGTACATCATGTGAGAGGCATCATTTAAATGGAAGTACTTTTCAATAGTGTTAAATCATTGCAATAGTTGCTGATACTTTAATAACAAATTGAAAATTATTTTTGCTTTTGTCAGTATCCATGCTTCTCTAATAGCTAAGAAGCTCCTGGTAGCCATAATTAGCAGTTTTCATTTTGGTTTTAGAAATTGATTAACTTAGATCTAATATGGAAGATGCCCAAGCCTTTCACAGGTCTCAGCCAACAAAGGGAGCCTCGTTATCTCATAAATTTTATAATGTAATCACGCCATTCACCAAGACTGCAGTACATTTGTATGTATCAAATCACTTGGAAAACTTGTGCTATAGGTACCTAGAGTCTATGCCTGGATTTTTTTTTTTTTAATAAAGATTTTTTTCCTACTTTCTCTCATAAGGTTGAAAAGTTTTTATTTTAGAGTAATTTCAGAATTACAGAATAGAATTTTAGAATTATAGATTTGCAAAGATAGTCATTTCTATATACCCTTCACCCAGTTTCTCTTAAGGGTAATATACTACCATGGTACATTTGATAAAACTTAGAAACCAACACTGGTGTGTTACTATGTTACGAATGTTGTGGGCGATAACTCCAAATGCTGTGAATACCACATTACCATAAACTCCAAGTGAATTCAGATTTCACCAGTTTTTCTCATAATGTCCTATTTATGTTTAGGATCCAATCCAGGATCCCACACTGCATTTAATCATGATGTCTCTTCTGGCCTGTGATAGTTGCCCAGTCTTGCCTTGTTTTTAAGACCTTGACAGTTTTGAGACTGAGGTATTTCATTGAATGTCCCTCATTTTGGATTCATCTAGGCTGGGGTTGTTGGATTTTTGAGAAGAATACCACAGAGATGAAGTGTCCTTATCATATTAGGGGGTACATGTCATTTGTATTTATTTATATATTTTTAGACGGAGTTTTGCTCCTGTTGCCCAGGCTGGAGTGCAATGGCACGATCTCCACTCACTGCAACCTCCACCTCTTGGGTTCAAGTGATTCTCTTGCCTCAGCTTCCTGAATAGCTGGGATTACAGGCATGTGCCACCACATCCAGCTAATTTTGTATTTTTAGTAGAGACGAGGTTTCTCCGTGTTGGTCAGGCTGGTCTCGAACTCCCGACCTCAGGCGATCTGCCTGCTTTGGCCTCCCAAAGTGCTAGGATTACAGGCATGAGCCACCACGCCTGGCCATCTCACAGTTCTTGAGGATGTACTCATGGATGTATTGTTCAGTCTTTTGTTAAGAATGAATTGAAACCTTTAAGCTTTAAGAGGCACAATTGGGAGGATCCCAGATTTGAGCCCAGCCTAAGTAAAATAATGAGACTCTGTCTCCAAAATAACCAAATAAATAACTCCATGCTTATTAGACTCTGTTTTTCTTACCAAGTAATTTTAGAAATGAGTTATTTTATGATACTATTCCATCTGTTTTATTCAAGGCTGTCATTCTATAGTAAGTAGTCCTTATATAATTAATACTAATAACAAATTAATGATTTAATATGACTTACGGCTATAGATGAGTTATGTTTTGGTCATATAATCTCATAATATATTTTTAGGTGCCAGTCAGAAACAGCCAGGTTTGGGGGTTTTTTGTTGTTGTTGTTTGTTTGTTGCATTTTAATTCGTTTCCTATTGAAATGTGGTGGAGGCAGGGACCCAAACATGCCTTTTGGATGATTTAGCAGCATAAAACAAGGCGTCTTAAATGAGAGTTAGATGACAAGGTGGCCAAAATGGCAAAGTTATATTCTTGGTTAACTGGAAGAAACCAGTTATTTAATATTTATGTGTTCCCAAGTGGAGTTTAAATTATTAAAGTGAACAGTGCTGAGACTGAAGTACTCTCAGATGGTATGCCTATATGAAAATGGCATGCTTTTGCACTAAAATGTTGAGTAATGACCACTGAGACCAAAATTTTGTATGTTTTTTGGGAAAAAGATCCAGAGTGGTCATGTAATTTTAGAGCTCTCTGGCTTCCAGAATATTGAGAACCGTTGGGATTCAGAAAAGGAAATAATGTGGGTTATTTATTTATTTATTTTTGCTGGTACCCAGAAAATACTGATAAGGCAGAAACCCTGAGTTGAGTGAAAATTGTGTCATGTATGTTTTTGTGCAGGTGGTGTGTATGTAAGTCCTGGGAGATTATAGGATATTCTAGGAAATTGTGAATTTCCTAACCTGAGTATATTTATAAAAACCATCCTCTTGGCAGACATGAGGATGCTATAGTGGATTACCCCCAAAAGATTCTTTATATTCTCTGGTTCTCAGAAATGCTTTAGGATTATTGATAATCAATTACATTTTTTTCCTTATAGAATTTGCCATCTGCCTTAGTAACTCATGTACTAAATCCTCAACCTGGAGAGAAGATTCTAGACTTGTGTGCAGCACCTGGAGGGAAAACAACACACATTGCAGCACTAATGCATGATCAGGTGAGACCGTCTTCACAGCAAAACCACTCTCAAAGTAGTGTATATTTCACAGTGTGTAATTTCTGAAATATAGAGCCATTCACAGTCTCATTTAGTTCAGATTCAGCCAAAATGAAAACTATTCAGTTATGTCAGTCATTACATATTAAGCTCAGTAGACAATGATCATTTATGAAGACTGTCTCAAGACCTTCTTGAATTTTACAATTTCCTAATACGATTATAGACTTCTGTTATAAAATTAAATTTAATACATTTAGAGATTATTTCATATTCTTATAAGATTTAGTACTTGTTTAAACTATTAATATATATTCTGCCATTAAAAACTAATTTCACAGTACATTATCAAAGTGTGAAATATGTGTATGTTAAGATATATAAACATAGTTCTATAATACATAAACATACACATACATATAGAATATTTTCTATTTAAAGTTATCATTTTGGTCTAAGAAATATCTCTAATAGAAAAGAATATTTTTTACATACTGAGAATGAGAATCAAAAAAAAGAAAAGGATATTTGTTGTTTAAATTTTGAGGAATGTAATACTCATTAGAGAGGATATGCCTGTCTGCTTATTTATACTCTTTTTTGCCTGAAAAGAATTTAAGGTGGTAACAAAAACTCTTGAAGGAAAAATGCATTAAATACCACTAGGGCCTAAAATAAAGCACCTGAAATAAGAAGAGTTGATTTTGTGGAGTTGCGATGTTTAATGCAAATTGTTTTTCAGTTTATATGGAAGATTAAAGATTGATCATGATAGGAATTGAGAAAGTGTTAATTCTCCATTAAATTATGGCATATTTATTGTATTTGCTTGAAGGTAATTATTCACAGAGATTTGATTCCCTCTTAGTAAAAAAGTCTTTCCAAAGGGAGTCTGGATATTATGGGTGTATCAGTTTTCTGTTGGTTTTATGATGTGTGAAGACACAAAATTGTAGCGGCATAAAACTAAACATTTTGGGCGCTCAGGAGTCTGTGGGTTTCAGCTGATCGCTGCTGGGCTCACTTGTGGACTGGTCAGCTGCAGGTGAATTGGGTGTTTTTGATTATCTTGGCTGGGCCTATTCACCTGGACATGGATGGTTGTTGGCTCATCTAAAGTGGCCTCAGCTGAGACGACAAGGATGCCCTGCCTCTGGCCGATGTGTAGGTTCTCCTCTGGCTAGGACCAGCAGACTAGCCAAGCAGAGGGCAATAGTTGGGGTCTGGTGATGGCAGAGAGCAAAACAGAGCAAGTCCAGCTGTTCAAGTGCTTTTTATGGTATTAAAAAATATCTCTGTTTACATCACATTTACTGTCATCCTGTTTATTGGCCAAAACAAATCACATGGCTGAATCCGATCAGAGTGGCAGCATATTGGGTATTGCAGGATTATCTAGTGAAGGAGGAATGTACATTCAAAGTTGAAGAATTGAGGCTATGTAGGCAGTCAGCCACAGTGGGGCAGCAATGCAGCCACAAACAACCGGAATAGAAATATTTGAGCCAGAATTGGATTATGAGGTTAAGAGATCGAGACCATCCTGGTCAACGTGTGAAACCCTGTCTCTATTAAAAATACAAAAAAGTAGCTGGGCGTGGTGGCATGTGCCTGTGGTCCCAGCTACTTGGGAGGCTGAGGCAGCAGAATCGCTTGAACCTGGGAGGCAGAGGTTGCAGTGAGCCAAGATCGCGCCACTGCACTCCAGCCTTGCGACAGAGTGAGACTCCATCTCAAAAGAAAAAAAAAAATTTTGAGCCAGAAATGAATCGTAAATTTTGTTGCTGCTTTTGTTATTTTAGTAGGTAAGGAAGTCTTTTATGACTGCAGCCTCCAGGCTTGTAGTTTTATAGAAGTAGCCTTCAGCTAGTTTCTCCTTTACTGTGTAATACGTTTGAACCTTATTCTAGTTGTTGACCGCTTTTCGAGCTCAAATCACTTTAAATGGTTTTTCTGCTCATCAAGGTATTAATTGAAAGTGTCTATCACTAAACCTGGTAGTATTTGAGGAATATTTACAAATTTTCTGCACTGTAGGCTATGCCATTGCTGCATATGGCATACAAGGGCAGTATAAAAGAAAGGGAAAAAAAAGCAAGAAAATACATAGAAGAGTCATTCTCACTGTATTTGCAATTTCATTTCATAGAATGTTTTAAAATATATGAATGTCACAAGGCTGGCTGGCTTGCTTTCTTTCTTTCTTTCTCTCTTTCTCTCTTTCTTTCTCTTTTCTCTCTTTCTTTCTCTTTTCTCTCTTTCTTTCTCTCTTTCTCTCTTTCTTTGTTGCTCTGTTGCTCTGGCTGGAGTGCACTGTGGCCCAATCCTGGCCTTACTGCAACCTTCGCCTCCCAAGTTCCAGTGATTCTCATGCCTCAGCCTCCCAAGTAGTGGGAATTACAGGTGCATACCACCACGCCCAAATAATTTTTGTATTTTTAGTAGAGACAGGGTTTCACCATGTTGGTCAGGCTAGTTTCAAACTCCTGGCCTCAAGTGATCTGCCTGCATCAGCCTCCCAAAGTGCTGGCATTACAGGCATGAGCCTCTGCACCCAGCCCACAATGCATTCTTAAAATTTTGGCCTCTTTTTTTTTTTTTTTTTTTTGAGACGGAGTCTCACTGTGTCGCCCAGGCTGGAGTGTAGTGGCCGGATCTCAGCTCACTGCAAGCTCCGCCTCCTGGGTTTACACCATTCTCCTGCCTCAGCCTCCCGAGTATCTGGGACTACAGACGCCTGCCACCTCGCCTGGCTAGTTTTTTGTATTTTTTAGTTAGAGACAGGGTTTCGCCGTGTTAGCCAGGATGGTCTCGATCTCCTGACCTCGTGATCCGCCCATCTTGGCCTCCCAAAGTGCTGGGATTACAGGCTTGAGCCACTGCGCCCGGCCTGTTTTTTTTTTGTTTTTTTGTTTTTTTGTTTTTAAATTGTGCTTTAAGTTCTGCAATACACCTGCAGAATGTGCAGGTTTCTTACATAGGTATACATGCGCCATGGTGATTGGCTGTACCTATTAACCCGTTATCTAGGTTTTATGCCCCACATGCTTTAGGTATTTGTCCTAATGCTATCCCTCCCCTTGCCTCCAACCCTCCGACAGATCCCCGTGTGTGATAGTCCCCTCCCTGTGTCCATGTGTTCTCATTGTCCAACTCCCACTTATGAGTGAGAACATGCAGTGTTTGGTTTTCTGTTCCTGTGTTAGTCTGCTGAGAATGATAGCTTCCAGCTTAATCCATGTCCCTGCAAAGGACAGGAACTCATTGTTTTTTATGACTACTTAGTATTCATGGTGTATATGTGCCACATTTTCTTTATCCAGTCTGTCATTGATGGGCATTTGGGTTAGTTCCATGTCTTTGCTATTGTGAATAGTGCTGCAGTAAACATACGTGTGCATGTGTCTTTATAGTAGAATGATTTATAATCCTTTGGGTATATGTCCAGTAATGGGATTGCTGGGTCAAATGGTATTTCTGGTTCTAGATCCTTGAGGAATCGCCACACTGTCTTCCACAGTGGTTGAACTAATTTACAATCCCACCAACAGTGTAAAAGCATTCCTATTTCTCCACATCCTTGCCAGCAACTGTTGTTTCCTGACTTTTCAACTGACATTCTAACTGGTGTGAGATGGTATCTCATTGTGGTTTTAATTTGCATTTCTCTAATGACCAGTGATGATGGGCATTTTTTCATGTGTTTGTTGGCTGCATAAATGTTGTCTTTTGAGAAGTGTCTGTTCATATCCTTCGTCTACTTTTTGATGGGGTTGTTTTTTTCTTGTAAATTTGTTTTAGTTCCTTGTAGATTCTGGATATTAGACCTTTGTCAGATGGGTAGATTGCAAAAATTTTCTCCCATTCTATAGGTTGCCTGTTCACTGTGACGATAGTTTCTTTTGCTGTGCAGAAGCTCTGTAGTTTAATTAGATCCCATTTGTGAATTTTGGCTTTTGTTGCCATTGCTTTTGGTGATTTAGTCATGAAGTTTTTTCCTATGCCTGTGTCTTGAATGGTATTGCCTAGGTTTTTTTCTAGGGTTTTTATGGTTTTGGGTATTATATTTAAGTCTTTAATCCATCTTGAGTTAATACGTGTGTAAGGAAAGGGTCCAGTTTTTGTTTTCTGCATATGGACAGCCAGTTTTCCCAGCACCATTTATTAAATAGGGAATACTTTCACCATTGCTTGTTTTTGTCAGGTTTGTCAAAGATCTGATGGCTGTAAATGTGTGTTGTTATTTCTGAGGTCTCTGTTCTGTTCCATTGGTCTATATATCTGTTTTGGTACTAGTACCATGCTGTTTTGGTTACTGTAGCCTTGTAGTATAGTTTGAAGTCAGGTAGTGTGATGCCTCCATTGTTGTTCTTTTTGCTTAGGATTGTCTTGGCTATATGGGCCCTTTTTTGGTTCCATGTGAAGTTTAAAGTAGTTTTTTTCTAATTCTGCTAAGAAAGTCAGTCTTTGCTTGATGGGAATAGCATTGAATCTATAAATTACTTTGGGCATTATGGCATTTTCACATAATTGATTCTTCCTATCCATGAGTGTGGAATTTGTTTCCATTTGTTTGTGTCCTCTCTTATTTCCGTGAACAGTGGTTTGTAGTTCTCCTTGAAGAGGTCCTTCGCATCCCTTGTAAGTTGTATTTCTAGGTATTTTATTCTCTTTGTAGCAATTGTGAATGGGAGTTCACTCATGATTTGGCTCTCTGCTTGTCTGTTGGTGGTGTAAAGGAATGCTTGTGATTTTTGCGTACTGATTTTGTATCCTGAGGCTGCTGAAGTTACTTATCAGCTTATGTAGTTTTTGAGCTGAGATGATGGGGTTTTCTACATATACAGTCATGTCATCTGCAAACAGAGACAACTTGACTTCCTCTCTTCCTATTTGAATACTCTTTATTTCTTTCTCTTGCCTGATTAGCCTGGCCAGAACTTGCAATACTGTGTTGAATAGGAGTGGTGAGAGAGGGCTTCCTTGTCTCCTGCTGGTTT